TGCCCAGCCTTCTCTCTGCTTCTCTGTAGGGTGGAAAACTAGCTCGAGAAAAATTGTTAGTAAGCCTTGGGTTCATGAGAGGAGAATGTAAAAGGAGGGAGCGCTGTTACACAGCGTAGCAATAAGCAGACAAACTGAGGCACATAGTATCAGAGACTTAGCCAAAGTGCAAAATCAAGTAAGTACTCAAGTCCAAAATTGTCTTTTTCCCTCCTGGCCCAAGTTTTCCTTACTTGCTGGACAGAATTATTTTTCTGTGTGATAAATAACATGAAATGTAAAGGATTCTTGGAGATCTTGGGGAAGGATTTTAAGAGCGCAGGAAACCTATGTGAATGTGCTGCCAAAGAGAGAGTTAAAGTAACAGCATCAGTGAACTATTGGAGAACATATTCATTGTGGTCATTTGAAGACAAATAATCTGCATTAGAATGTAAAGCCAGAGAGTCACAGGATTTATTTTGAAAGACTTGAGCTCTTGGGCTCGAAACTATTTTGCTGCTTAGTAAGATTTATGAAATATTTGTGACATACTGTATATGTAGGCATGATGTAGCTTTTTCTATGCTCTTGCTTACATTAAGCAATAATAGTAATTTGCATTATGTTTGATAGGCACTGTGGACTCCCTTCACAGATTGCTAAAATACCCAATTAACTAGACTTTAGTAAAGAATTTTTTTTTTCTTTAATAGAAAACTCTATGTTGAATTTTGAACAACTGGGGGGAATGTTGACTTGTAAGATAAATGAGGACCTGTGTCCTTTGGTATAGAGCCAGGAAGACCAGGGTTGCTGGGTTAGTAAAGCTTTGGCATACTGAAGCTTTGGTATGCCTGCTCTCTGAAGAGGAATCCCCTTATGCCAGTCTTGTGTTGCCTGGTGATTTGTTTGCAGGATTTTATTTTTAAGAGGCTTCTGTTTTGAAACTCCTAATTGCAATTTACAGGTAAACAGAGGCTTGGCTGATGATTTTCCAGCTGCATTTTGGTCATTAGCATGTGTTTCACAAGTGCTAAACTAAGTTAAACGTTGCCAAATCAATTTGAAGTTGGTACATGCTGGGAGGTATGACTTTTCATTTTAATTAAGGTGCTTTTCTGAGCAAACTGGGAATGCTTACTTTTATTCTAAAATTCTACTTCTGTGAGTAATTACTTTTTTAAGCAGCCTCCCCAGAAGGATCAAATGAGACAGCGGTTCACAGACCTGCGTACCCAATTATTTTGTTTTATAGAAAAGATTAATTGTTTATACATGTGGACAATAAAAATCTTGTGGCTCCCAACAGTACTTTTATCATTACTTGGGATGCAGTTAAATGAAAGGACTGGTTCTTCACAACCTGGCTTAGTAAGGATTATTCCTTTGAGTTAGACAAGCAGTAAGGGTTATTCAGGTTAAGAAAATACAGTTTGTTTGGAGTGATTTTTTTTTTTTTTTCTTGGATGAGTGTAGTGTTGCAGGATCTGACCTTGGATTTACAGGCACACTAGAATGGGTCCAATTGCTTCATAAGTTGTCTTGCTCCTTTTTAACACTTGAAAGAGGATATCAGATAGAAAAAGTCTTATTCTCCATTATAAATTTTTTTCTAATATTTTTCATGTTTTTAAGAAAAAATTCCACGGAGCTTTGAGTGAAGGAAAAATAATATACAAAATTCATAGTAAGATACTTCATACCATTTAGTAGTGGCATTCATCTTCTTGAAGAAAAGCCATCCACAAAGCAAGATGTTACTTAGCACATGAAACAGTTGTGTAACTTAGGCAGATGTCTTTTTGAACTTAACAATTAGAAAATAAGCCTTAGTATTTCTTATTAGAGCTTTTTACTCATTTCTGCAGCCGCATGACTCATTATAATCAGGTCAAAATGGCACCATACATAATTCATTCAATCTTTTAACAGAAACTGCTATCCATCTCGAGATGGAAGAACCAGTGGTTGAAAAATTGACATCTTTGTGCAGTACTCCAAAGGATTCTGGGACAGCAGCTCCACAGGGAACTAGTTCAGGGAAACAGGTATGAAAACTTACTGTTCTTCCAGCAATGTCACTATTTGCAGAGCTCTACTTTGGTGTTCATCCTAGCATGCATTACAGTGATGCTGTCATGCTCAGCATCCAGACTTGTGCTGGATACATAGGGCTAATTAGCAAGTGTTCCTTAACTGATCCCTCTCTCCCATATTTTAATATATTTTCACAGGTGAAACTGTTAGACATGGATTATAAAAAAAACCCCAACATTGTTAACTTCTTTTGAAGAAAAAGAATGACTTTAGATGCTTATCAGTGATGGATCTCAAAGCATGAACAAATCAAAATTATACCGATAATTTCTAATACACTCAAGTAGAATATAGATGTTTTATACTAGTGCTAATACAGAAAGTGTGTATGTGTGGTGGGATGGAACAGCAAAAAAACCCCTCCCATCCTTATCTCTATTAAACTAGAGGGGGAAATTGAACTTGATGGAATAAAATTAGCCAAGTTGAAATATACTGTACATCTTCTGCACAAAGACTAGACAAGTGGGTTTGCCTTAATATGTAATACAAGATTTGCTCCTAGAAAACATGGAGGTACAGCTTTCCATATCTTGCAGCTGTGTGTGCAAACACACGTGAAAGGAAGAAGTTAACTTTGAGAAAGCTATAGTGAGAATTAGGAAGTCTGGCTTTACAACGATCTTTACATATATGACATAATCTATGTAAATGATAACCAGGATAAACAGTTCTACACCTCTTTGAAATCTGATCAAAGATTAGATTCTTCTGATCCCTCTGGTTTGTTTTTTTTATTATTTTTTAGCCAATGAGCGCAGCTCTGAGGGACCGATTAAGGAAAACAAGACGTTCCTTTAAAGCTAATTTTACAGTGGCAAAGCGGCTCAAGATAGACTCTGAAGAAAAAGACAGTGCTGATGCTGACAAAGGGTGCTTGCCCAAGACAATTACAAATACAGATTGTTCCAGATTACAGGATGGTTCTGAAAACGTGGAAAGAAACAGCACTGGACATACATGTTTCAAAAGTCCCTTACAGGAAAGTGATCTCTGTGGATCAGCAGAGAATTCTCATGTGCTCCAGTCTGACCTTAGTCAGCAGCAGTCCCTGGATGAAAAAGTAAGGCTGGTGAAACAAGTGCAAGAAAAGGAAGAACTACTCCGAAGGCTCAAACTGGTTAAGATGTACCGATCTAAGGTGAGGAGAACCTCTGAAAAAGCACTTCTAAATCATTCTTTGAATTCATAGTGTAATCCTCATGTATTGGTTTAAGCAACAATACTGACTCACTCTTTTTTTTGATGTGGTGTTTGTATATTGTCTCAGTTTAAGGCTTTTTATCAAAATAGATCAGCAGGGTACCAAAAACCCCCACATTTCAGCAAATGATAAAATTTCTTTTTTTTGTTTGTCCCAATTTCAGAACAACCTGTCTGAACTGCAGGCTTTGATAGTGAAATGGAGAAGCAGTACCCAGCTGATGCTATATGAACTGCAGTCGGCCTTTTCTGCAGATGGCAAGAAAGTGAGTCTCACTCAGCTGATAGATACTTTTGGATTAGAAGACCAGTTACTGCACTACAGCAGAACAGAAGAAGATTTTGTAGATGCATAATCTACAAGTGCGAAGCATTCGGTTCCACACACGCATAAGAAGAAAAGACAATGAATTCTGATCACGTAAGAAGTGTTGATCAGACAGCGGACATTATGCTTTGAGGTTAGGTTTTCTCAGGAGATATTTGTAAAGCTTTGTACTTAGATACAGTAGGTGCTGTAAAAGGCATAACTTAATGCAAAAGATAAAACTAATGCTGTTATGAAAAACTGGCTTGATAACTTGATCAGTGAATTGTTATTTAATAAAACCAAAATGAAATCAAGTCATACTTTTAACAAATAGAAGGCAGTCCATTCTTTGATTAGTCTTTGCATGGTTACTTGTCTTGAAATAATTAACTCAATTGTTATTTCTGTTGATCTTCAGATGAGGAAGAGTTCAGTTCTCTGTTTATAGATACATCCCCATTTTACAAATGTCTTCCTGCTGCCAGTCAGTTAATGACAGCATTTTGCGAGTTAAGTAGAGATAACTAGTTTTCATGTTAAATTTCTGAAGCTGCAATGAGATGTTCTCAATAGCTTTAATTATTACTGAGGGAAATGTGCCATAATGCATTCATTTTCAGATACTGGTCCAGACAGTTGTCTTCAGGGAAGCTGTCTCTTAAGCATTCTGCCACAGCCTGAGATAATAGAAGGGAAGGCAAGAAAATCACAACCAACAGCTGTTAATGTTGCTACTTCATGTGAGAGCCAAGGTGTTAACTCGCTTCAAATAAATAAGAAAAACAAGGCCTTGTCTAGTGGGAGTGCTTCAACTACAGCATCATAAAGCTGAATAAAACTTCAGCATTTTGTTTATGCTCCAATAAATGTTGTCTCTTTATATGTTTTTGTTTTTATCTTAACTTAAAATTGTTTTTTTTCCTTATCATAGCCTATGCATATAGTGTGGTAACTCCTGTCTGCTTTTGTTCTCCTTAAAATCATTGCTTGTCAAGTGTAACAATACATAAATCTTCACTACAGTACAACTCTCCCAGCTATGAATATTGTTTTATATGTGATCACATTCCTTGTATCATCTCAACTGTTTTGTTTATGGCTAGCATTTCCTGTTTCCTTAAGGGAGTAATTTCTTGCATATCTCAAGGGAAAGAAAATCAAAGATTGTACAGACCTTTTTAACATTGATAGGGCTCGTTAGACTTAAATCTGTACCCACAACTTACTCCTAAGAATACTGAATGTTGCTGTCTACAGAGAATTAATTAAGAACAACCTTTATCACTAATTGCATTTTGAGTATTAAGATACTATTTCTTCTGTTTCTTTGGGTTAATAAAAAAAAGATGGTGGTGCCTGGTGAAGAGGGTGGTTCTCTTCCCTGAGATCCATGGCAAATTTGGAGCTCTTGTTTCTAGGGAAGTTTCAGGAGGAAGAAAAATATCATTCAAGAAGAATGGGATGTAAATAGAATCCTTACAGGCCCCAGTTAGAGACAATAAAGCAAAAATGGAGGTGGTATACAAGATCACAACAGAAGTAGTTTTCCTTACAAGTGTAGAATTTTGTTAAACTAATGTATCAAAGCTATTAATGCTCTTACAAGGGAATGAGTGTAGATTTTGTATGCATTTATGAAAAGAGGAGAAGAATCAACACACACCATGGAAGAGGGAAATAAAAAATCAGTCAGAATGCCTAAGTAGGTAGATCCTGCTCCAGCAGTCGTTAATTTTATCAAGGGTTCTTTATATTTCCTAGCTGTCTTGGAGAGATCTGACAGAAGAATAGACTGTAAAGGGCTGGGAGATGAGAGCAACTCTTTTGGAGGCCAGATGCTTCCAAACCTCGTTTTCGTGTGATTCTGCTCATGGCAGCAGGTATTGGTGGCTGTGGGTAATTATCATAAACAGCAGCAGCTTTCAGGACTGGGCCAGGTAGCACACATCATGCTGAAGCATACCTTCATCTTCTTAGCAACCTACACCTGTGCCATCACAAGTGTAAATATATTTTAAAAAGCAAAATTAAGTCAAAGCCACAGAAGTGAATTTTAGCAGATGCAAATTCATGGATTTCTTGCAGTACTGCACCTTCAAAATGTTCTACAATTGCATATTGCAGACTAAGGATATACAAATACACCTATTCTTCTATCAGTCTACAATTTCTTGTACCTTTTGTTTTCTGTAATGAGCTGTATGGTTTATATAATCAAAACAGCAGAAATACATCTCATGAACTGAACTATAACAGGGACAAGACTAGGTATAAAATGTACAAAACAGACAAACACGCATCTTTCAAACTGAAGCTATTTTTAAAGAAATTACAGAAGAAATAATTTGTGGAAAGAAAAGTTCAGGGAGAAAAGGTACTTGTTCAAGGTCTTTTTCTTAGACAAGACCACGGTATTATAAATCTACCTGGCTTCTGATTTTTAAAGAATAGGGAATGTTCTTGATCTCAGTCTTTCAACTTCTGCCTGAAGAATTTCACACTGTTCTTCTTGTTCCTTTACAAGACCTCGTAGGTGTTTCTGCTTCAAAATCTGTCGGTAACGCTGCTTTGCAATCTTTTCAGAAACATGTGTGTCTGCATAAAACCAAATATAAGGGTTAGCCTGTACTTGCAGGGGATGCATAGTCTATATATATATATTGGACCTGTCCCAGGGTTATTCCAAGTTCTGTATAAAACAGGCAGACATTTTAAAAAAGGTTCACAGTTGGGTTTAAGAGTCTTTACAGTACTGAATAAAGCAAAAAATTTCAAAAAGGCACTCGGCATGATTCCTTTAGCTTCTAGCAAGTACCCACTATTTTGAAAATCTGTAACAGTTTTACTTGTGGAAAGATCTCTACAGTTTTCCTAGTAGCAAATACCCTTCTCAGCTCCACATTACTTCCTCTGTTCCCTGGAATGTGTGGAAAGAAGTGGGTTAAAGAGTTCTGAGAAAGGATGAAAGCATGTTGCTTAATGAAGATATTAATGACTATAATATTTTGACTTAAATAGTTTCAGCAATTTAGTCAATTAACTTTGGTTACAAGAGCAACAGTCTCTAGGTATGCTCTTAAGTAAACGATGTTAAATTGTTGTGGTAGAAAGGGCACCGCTAATTGTGCACATACAGTAATAAACAGGCGCTCCTTGCCCCTTTGCTGATGCTGATGGAGAACAGGACCAGCTAGCCTTGGAGATATTTTCTGAATCTTTTTTACTTGTCACCAAGTACATTATTGTGACTCACTGGCTGCCTCAAAGATGTGCCTCCTTTCTGAAACAGACACAAGCATTTCTTTCAGCTCCAGGCTGAGCTCATAGTTTTCTTGCTCTTTTAAACTGATGCACTTCTCCAACTCTTTAATTCTTTTCTGACGGTTCTTCACATTCTTCTTGTGCAGCTGCCCATTTCCAAAAGAATAAAGCAAATATATGAGATTATACAGAAGCTGTTCAGACAACCTTTAGATGAAAACCTATAATCTTAAGCACTGCATTGTAGCTCAATAAACTTTCATGTATTTTGATTTGACTAGTAGTACATTCTAGCTTTACTTCGTATAGTGTCTTTCACACACACTGTATTCCAGTATGCTTTATGGAGTTCTAATATAAGCAGCAGACAAAGAACAAAGAGGTATGGGTCAGGGAGAGAGATATATTAAAGATAAAACTTGAAAGGCAAAGGGAGGAAAGGAAATCAATGGAATCAGTGAGTTGAGAACACTTTCTTGGCTGCTAGGAGCTGCTGAAGAAAGGTTTGTTGTGCTGAAGCTGTCAGATGGGCTATAAAGGGACAAGGTAAATACTAAAGCTTGATGAGGAGACTGATGCCAGCTAGAGCAATCTGGAGAAAATCCAGTGAAATCACTTAAAACCAAGGATAATCATAATTTGAATGTTGAAATAGATGACGGAGCCAGAAAATCAGATTGTTGTGTCTGTGTTACTTTGAATATAGAGGGGAGTGATATTATGAACAGGCTGGCACTCCTGCAGAGAAATATTAAGCAGTGAAGACTGGAAGAATGCTTCATTAGAAATGGAAGAGTGACTTTTATAGATGGTGCTGTGTAAGAAGTGATAGGTGGATCTGCATTCAGATGTTCGGGAAGGAAAGCGTTTAATTCCAGTAACAGCACAACAGAGGGTTCTCTCCATAGGATTGATCCATGCAGCAATCAATGTACGATGACTGCTTCCAAAGACTTTAGAGAACTGCTGCTGTAGACAGCTCAGTGCAAGTTGAAGAAACTATTGAAAGCCAGATGAATAAATACATGGAGATATATATATTCATCTGTGTGTGCTGCTATGGCTATGCTCCAACAGTCTTTAAGTTAGCTGAAGAGTTAGTATGCCTACATCAGTTGCAGTTATTCCTTACAAACACTTCTTGCTAATGAAGGAGAGGAACTGCATTTAAACTAAGGAAGTCTCTCTCAAATGTGGTGGTTCACTGAGGATTTACCTTATCCATGATGCCAAGGGTCTGCTCCATCACTGAAATGTGGTGGGCAATGTGGCTGTCGTAGTTCAACACAGTTAGGAACTGAAGAATTAAAAACAGAAAGAAACCATCTTATTAAGCCTGTTTGTTCTCAACAATTCCACACTTCTGTAAATACAATCATACCATGGGAAACTCAAAAAACTAGAATTCTGCACAGTGGAAAGGCTTATTAGTGATCATAAATGGACATTGTAAAGATATTCCTGGATGCTGTGTGAATACTAGACTGTACAGCTGTTAGAAAGAATGTTATTTCTTATGTGTTAATGGAAACAAAGACCAAACAAATTTGTTGTGAGGTTTTCAAAAAAACCCAAGCTACACTTTTGTTTCTAAGGTAGTCTAAGCTAACACAGTGAGAGACCAAAGCTATAAAGTCTATCTTCAGGCCAGAGAAGAAAGTAATTATTTTCTGTCAAGTGGCTTCCTAGGAATTCTTACTTCTTTTGTTGTTCTTATATCTGCATAGTATTTCAGGTTTCAGAGAATTTATTAAAGATTTTTTTCTTGGGCACCCTACTACTAAAATATCTCTTTATCAAATGACAAATGGTAAAAGAGGCTGTATGACCCATAATGGGCAGTAGACAGGTTTCTGTAGATGTAGATTCATCCTTCCAGAGTATTGTCCCACCAAAGTGACAGGTAAAATTTTGTGGACTGCTCTAGTTAGAAGACAAAAAACAGAAAAGCCCCAGCAGGCTCCTTGCCTGCAGCACCAAACTAGTTTCACTCACTGCTTCACAAATAACCCTCATTCCAGGTGTTCTCAGGTCCTTGCCTGCATGCATTTACCTAAGCCATCTTTCTTTCTGTTCCTATTGTTGGGGTCTCTGTTGCCTTGCCTTTCCTACTAACCCCACATTTCTACTCAAAATATGAAGTCAAGTCAAGCCCCTCAGAGCTTTCAAATTCTGATTAAACTGGTGTATGTATGCCTTTGCTATGGGCAAGTCTAACTGTCTCTGAAGGGCAATAGTTCTGCTCATCAGTTAAATGAAGTTTGAGCTAATGGCAACACTCTGGTGATAAATTTGCTACAAGAACTTTTCAGTGTGTTGTCACATCACCTCTGGAAAGCTGTTTTGTGGGTTTTAGTTACAGAAGTCCCTTAGCTGTGATTAAAAAATGAACAAGCAATTTGGAGAGCAGCAAAACAAATGAAGCCTGAGCAAAACACATATTTGGGACTTTCTTTTAATCTTTTGATTGAATTGCAATATCCTTACCTGCTCTCCAACATTTTTCATTTTCTCTGTGCTTTATATAGCTCTCCCCACTGCAATACCTCTAGCCCACCCATCTTCCCAAACTCCAAACCTTTATGCCTCTCACCTCGTTGCCCCAAAACCACTATCTTTCCCTGCAGTTCTCTACATCCCATACTGCAACATCCTCAGGCTTCCCCTACGACCTTCTCTTCTTTCTCCTCTCTTCTCCCACTGGTATCCTTGGCTCTCTCCCACAGCCTTTACCTATGTTATCTGGCCTGCCAGCTGGGTTTGTTCAAAGCTACATGTGTGCTGACTTGCTGGCCAGGCATGGCAAACAATTCTCTGTCCTCCTGCTGCTGGGCCAACACATGGCAGTAAGTGGAGCTCAGCAAGGCTCCTGTAGGAACGCTCAATCTTTGTATAGTGAGCAAAAGTTACAGTATTTCAGTGAGATACCAAATGAGGGCACGTCAGATGTTTTACTTAAAAGGAAGTTATGGTGCTTCATTTAAAAGATATGTTCCTTGTGGCATTTCAGTGCCAATTTTTAAACACTAAGAGTTAGAGCTAATTTTGCCTTTGTTGACATCTCAACATAGAATCATTAAAAGATCTGTTCCTTGTGGCTGTAAAATCCTGATTCCTTACTCTCAGTGCCAATTTTTAAACACTAAGAGTTAGAGCTAATTTTGCCTTTGTTGACATCTCAACATAGAATCACAGAATGGTTTGGGTTGGAAGGGACCTTAAAGATCATCTAGTTCCAACCCCCCTGCATGGGCAGGGACATCCGCTAGACCAGGTTGCCCAAAGCCCCATCCAGCTTGGCCTTGAACACTTCCAGGTGTGGTGCCTCCACAACTTCTCTGGGCAATGTGTTCCAGTGCCTCACCACCCTCACAGAGAAGAATTTCTTCCTAATATTTAATCTAAATCTACCCTCCTTCAGTTCAAAGCCATCACCCCTGGTCCTATCACTACATGCCCTTGTAAAACAGTCCTTCTCCAGCTTTCTTGTAGGCCTCTTTAGGTACTGGAAGGCTGCTATAAGATCTCCCCAGAGCCTTCTCTTCTCCAGGTGGAACAACCCCAACTCTCTCAGCCTGTCCTTATAGGAGAGGTGCTCCAGCCCCCTGATCATCTTTGTGGTCCTCCTCTGGACTCGCTCCAACAGCTCCATGTCTGTCTTGTACTGGAGAAACCAGAGCTGGACACAGTACTCCAGGTGGAGTCTCAGGGAAGTGGAGTAGATGGGGACAATCACCTCCCTGGACCTGCTGGACACTCTTCTTTTGATGCAGCCCAGGATACAGGTGGTTTCTGGGCTGCAAGTGCACATTGCCAGGTCATGTTGAGCTTTCCGTCAACTAACACCCCCAAGTCCTTGTCCTCAGGTCTGCTTTCAATCCATACTCCACCCAACCTGTATTTGTGCTTGGAATTGCCCTGACCTGTGTGCAGGACCTTGCACTTGGCCTTGTAGAACTTCATGAAGTTCACACAGCCCCACCTCTAAAGCCTGTCAAGGTCCCTCTGGATGGCATCCCTTCCCTCCAGTGTGTTGACTGCATGACACAGCTTGGTGTCATCAGCAAAGTTTCTGAGGGTGTGCTCGATCCCACTGTCCATGTCATCGACAAAGATGTTAAACAGTGCCAGTCCCATTACTGACCCCCTGAGGAACACTACTTATCACTGGTCTCCATTTGGACATTGAGCCATTGACTGCAACTCTCTGAGTGCAACCATCCAGCCAATTTCTTATCCACTGAGTGCTCCATCCATCAATTTCATCACTGATCAATCTCAGTGATTGAAAGCTGAATTGTTGACCTATTAGGCACCAAGTTTCTCCATAGTAGTAAGACTTCAGAGGTATAAATGATCTTACAGGTATAGGCAGAAAAGTTTTCTGTAGTTAAAATATACCTTAGAGAAATTTACTCACTAGCTGACGATCTTTTGAGATAGGTAGCGTTACAATATCCCGAGCCTTCTGTTTCAGATCTTCTATCTGCATTCTCATTTTCTTGTGTTCCCATTCCAGCTGAAATATCCCTTTAGAGAAGTCTTTACATTCCACCATGCTAGCAATTTTTTTTTCTCCTTGAGCCTAAAAAAATAGATTAATCTTCATTAACACACTTTACAAATTATGGAATAATTAATTGCAACAAGATGGGCAAGCTCCCAAAGTTATAATTTTAGTAAGGAAAACATGCTATACTGCAGTCTCTTTCCAGACTTTGCCCCAGATGGTTATCTTTTGTGGAATTTTCTTCCTTTTTATGCTCTGTGGCACAGCCTTGGATTGTAGAAGGAGATGAAGAAAATTACAACTAATCTCTCTCTCCATCTTCCTGTCTTTCATAAGAATGTGAAGGCATTTTAACTCTACAGAACACAGACTTGCTCTGTATTAGGTATTGTGCAGTTGTTACTGAAGGCTTTGTGCAATAGCAGCAAGCAATTTTTGTATGGCTAGAATGCCTAAGAAAAGAACCTTTAATGAGAGCATGAAGAACTGTTTTAAGTAGGAACACCAATTTCACCTTACATAATAAAGTGTATTAAGTTTTTAAATCTTAATGTAAGCTACTGTTCAAATGTTTCTTTAACTATAAGTTTGCCTTGAGGGAATTTTTGGACTAGTGCCCAGGATATTAGCATTTTCTATTTTAAGCGTGTGTGGAATTGATGGTGTGTCTAAAAATTGTTGCCATTTCATTGATCTGAATTGTATTGATCAAACATCAAGAAAGTAGTCTGTATTGCAATCTATACATCATGATAAGAGACATTACAGAATTTTTAATAGCTTCTAAATTACCATTGAGCCTACTGGTGTGTAGTAATGAATAGAAACTAGATGTCAAACTGGAAAAAAAGCAGAGCCCCTGAAGGACAATACATTTGTTTAAAAAGCTTAAATTTCCTTCAGATAATGTAAATTACCATGATAGAGCAATTCAATTCTTCAATAACACTCTTATTAATGAGAATGGCATCAGCATAGTCTGGGATTTCAGTACTTTCCAGTTCCACCTGTCCTTGTTTTAGCAAAAACTGGACAGTCAAATTCAACTGAAGTTTCATCTTCTCTTCCTGAAGCCTAAAATGGCAGAAAACAAAAGTAACGTTTAGTGACTTCAATAGGATTATATAAATCCTCCCATGATTCTCAAAATGTTTCTGTTTATTACTGGTAAGTGGTATGTTCACGTAGGGGTTACTCTTTGACAGCCTGTCTTCTGTTTGTGCCCAAAGTGACTACAGAATTTGCAATTTATTTCCATACTCCATTTCCATGAAGTTTTCAACCACTGGATTCAGTTTAACATACTCTAGCAGATGTTCTGAGAGGAAGTGTCCTTACTGAACAGAAATCTTAACAACAATTGAAAAGGACATGGAGAAGACTCCCAGCCAGCACCCCTTTTCTTGTATAATTTGTCCTGGAATTTGTTCCTGAATGACAATGAATGTGAAAATTATGCCATGTATGTGAAAGTGAAATATTTTTGCAGGTCCAAGCAGCTCAGTGAAATGAGGTGTCATATGACCGAGCAGTGTATTGCAATTAGGAGTGATCACTGTATCTACATGAGTGAAATTTAACTGAGCTACCTAGCACAAATATGGCCTCGAAGGCTTTGGGGGATTCACTGTATAACGTAGCTTTGGGGGCAGTCAGTTTGCACTGAACGCCACGCTGCCATCCTTACTAACGTTGTTACTTGGTAGATTAAGACTGGTTTGGCCGGCTCACACGTGCTGCAATAACACCTCTTTTCAGAAATATCGTAGGTCTCTTGGATGAATCCTAGATAAAAGAGTGTTGGAGAACACAGCTGTGTAATTCTGTGTGTAACTTTTGGTTCTGTGTTGGTGGAGTATTAAAATACAGCTGAACATAGGAAAAGAAACAAAATTACCAAGTGAGTTCTTGGAAAATGTCTTCTATTTCTGATTTAATCTTCTCATTGTCATCCATTCTTCTCTGGAGAAAGGCCTGCATCTCTGCCAGTGTTAGGGCTTTCCATTTCACCTAAGAAAGCAATATCATGAGATTCTGAACTTATTCAACTTTGCCACTATGTCAGGGCAAGCCTCTTCAAGAACAGAGAAGACAAATTCTTAAGAAGACATATGTATGTATAAACATGCAGCCTGGCATTTTGAAAATCCCAGTAGAGCACATGAGACATAGAGGTTACAATCCTTACACTCTGCTAAGAAAATAATTTATTCATTTATGCATAGTTTATTCACATGAAGGGAAATCATATTTCCTTCTCTCTTGGTCAAAGGTCATGTATCTCTGTCTCTGGATAATTCAGATTTACACCTTCATGCTTTTAAACTGAAAAATATGGGGATGCATTGATGCAAGTGCAGAATGCTAATGGGAGAAAATGAGTCCGACAGATGATGGAAATCAAATACCTTAACAGTTTTTTGGTATGGATAGAGAAAAGGAAAATTATCTTTTTTTTTTTTTAATGAAACCATATCAAGGTCACAATCATTCTGACCAAATCTGTCCACATTAATATGCTAATTTTTCCTCTGAAGGGGAACTAAAGCTGGTTTCCCTTGATGACATTTCTATTATTCTGAATTTAATGTGGCCAGAAGCAACTTTCAAACTCAAATGCAGCTTGTCTACACTGCATTGTCATTTCAGCACTAGCTTGACCCTACACTTGAACTCCACAGAAGTTTAAGACCTGAAAATATCAAGAAGTATACTGGCAAAATAAAGAATTTTACATACCAGCTCCTCACTCTCCACTTTATTTCGTCTAGCTAGACAAAAATGTTCCCATATAGATGGGTCTAAGCCATTAGGCATGTGCTCAGGACTATCCAGTTCATCCATGGCTTTCATTAAAAGGGTAAGTGCATCTTTGTAATCTTCAGCTGAGCCTGAACAATCCCCATATGGGTTAGCAGTGTCAAGGAGCATTTCTGTCATTGGGGTCCTAGTGCACATACACAGTACATACAGTATTTACTTTTTATTTTCTCTTCCATAAAAGAAGCTCACAACCAGCTAAGAACATTTCATACTCTCAATCTCTTGCAAAGAACAAATAGGAAAGACTGCATCTTACACAAAATAAGAATATATGTTTTTGAGATCTAATGATTATTTAGATTGCATTTAAAACAGATTGTGTGGGGTGAATAAGGAAATGTAAGTACTCAAAATAGCAATCATTAGCGCAATAGGAAATCAACCGTTGTTAACTATCCAATAAAAAGGAGGCAGTCTACTGATTATCAAAATAATTTAGACTATTGAAATAAATAGCATTCTCATTCTTGACTCACAAGAAATGTTAGTATTTCAACAGATGGAATCAGGGGGGGATCTTACTTTGGTCGATGTTTGTAAAGTTGGAAAAGCTCATCAAGGAGATTGGCAGGTACGTCAGCAAACTCCTTTGCAAAACCACGTTCCAGGTTCTGGGAGGGAAACAGAAAGCTTTCTTGTCACCACAATGTTATTTTAAAAAAAGCATCAACCTGCCCATATCTTAGAAATACAGAATACAATGTTATTCCAACCACTTCCAAGCATCATGGGAATCTGGACGATTTCATAAATTTTCTATGCACATACTCTCCTTTACTGCTTAATTTCAGTGATGAGCAAGTTGACCAGAACTCATCCAATGTCCGCAGTGAAGTATGCTCTTCTCATTATCAAGACACAGCATTAACTTTTTAATTTCTGAACCTCCTTGTGTTTTTTCAAGAGTCTCACCTTCTCTTCAACCATTGCTTTTTCATAGGTGTCTGTGTAAGCCTCAATTTTATTTTTTGTAGTCTGGATTGTTTTTGCAGTCTTGACCTATAGCAAAACCAAAAGATTTCAGGAATGAAACTCAGCCAGCAGCACTGAATGGCCATTCACATACACTGATGAAGCTGACACTTTCTTATTTCTAGAGAAAACCTTGTGAGCTATTTTTACTAAAAATATAATGCCTTCTTCAGGGGGTTGCTTGTAGAGACTGCTAAAAGGTAAGCAGGTGCAAAATTAAAATAGTCCACTGCTAAAGAAAGTAAGAAATTTGTGTAAGAAATATCTTATACAAATGCTTACAAGTCTTCTGTTTAAACTTTGAATGTAAGAACCTATGTTGACACTTGATTTTACTTGCACAGAGATTTCCTTTTTCTTTCCTGTCATCACAGGTAAGACCAGTCGAAAAGTCTCAAATGCTGTTCAGTGGAGGGTTCTTCATTTTAGAATGCAGCTTCCCTGTTGTCATGACACTGTTCTGCTACATGTCAGGATACTAAGCTCATCTGTTTTATGAAGGTTGTTAAATAGTTGTACTCTGCTGGGGAGACAGTTTTGTTGTATTTGACAGTTTACATGGACCAAAAGATATACCAATGGGAACATTTAGAAAATAAAAAAAAAAAAAGATATATTTTGAAAAATGTAAGCTGGTATACACTTGGCCTCAGATAATTTTAAAACCAGTTCAGCCTATTCAGTGGTAGGAGCTAGATGCCTGCTTTGGAATCTCTCTGTGTAGCTCACATACAAATGGCTGCCTGCAGGTCCAAACACAGAGGCCTGTACAAGCTGAGTAGATCTGACATGAGGAAGTGTTACTATATGATCTGTGGACTCAGGAACAGCCCCACGAAGACAAAGTGGGCAAATGGGATAATACTGGCCTACATTAGACACCTCAGTGAAAAAGGTGATGGCATTACACATTCTTTTGTGCATCTTCCTGTCATAAAAGCACCATAATTGGTGCTTTCAGCTTGATACCGGATACTAAAAAATACTATATATAGCAAACAAATAACAGCATGCCCTTCTGATCATATGGAGTTTTACCAAAGAACTCCAGATGAACCCAGATGAGTATCTATTAAAAAAATGTATGTATTTATAATGTATGTCACCTGCACAAGTTGAAAAAAAAAAATCAGTGACCCTGTAAATTGTCCGAAAATAATGTATGGCACAATTTTTATTTAAAAAGAGCAGTCTTCACAAGAAACTGTATTGTAAATATTACACTTTTCCTAAGAACAGCATTCCAAATGATAACTTACTTTTTCTTTCTCCTTTTTCATAAGGAAATTATGAAGTCCAGCTTCTCTGGTGTCCAACTCTTCATCCAACAGTAAAGCATAAACAAGATTGACTATTTTGAGTTCTTCCTGTGAAAAGATTGTAATTAAAAACGTTAACATTCCTAAAAAGCTGCACAGAGGCAAAGATGAAAAATTAATGTTCTCTGTGATACCTGACAGATGACCATTTCTAATTTCACTTTCTTTTCAGACAGTTTGCACACAGTCTCATCAAAATTTTGTGTTGTTTCCTGAATGGAAGCTTCAAGTTTCTTCAATTCATTTTCCAGTGCCTGGGGAAGGGAAGGACAAGAGCAGCATTATTACATCTGGAGGAACAAAGAAGCTCTGATATAATATATCAGATGATGGAGAATGCACAATATGGAACAGTATCTTTCAGCCAAAAGGTCCCAGAAATTACTTGTTTGGAAGGAGGGTGCTGCTAGGCTACCAAGTTATGTTGTCCAAATACCACTTTGAAGGATAAATATAATTGTATTATTTGTGTATGGCAGCAACAACTCTGGGAATGGAACCTGAAAAAAAAATTCTAGGAATACTGGTACATTTGTGAAGGAAGGTTACCTTTTATCAGGTATCACAAGTTTGGCACATATTGGTGTAAGAGATTGCCTTATTTTACTGTCTAAGCTAGGCCTTATTTAATATGCCACATGATTTTTGTTCTTCCTTTGTTCATCGTTTATTCTATTTATTACTATTCAGTTTTAGATGTAGCTCCTGAGAAAGATCAGAAACTTTGGTCATAAGCACTGGGAACAAAACCACTTCTTTTCTTATTTTAATGTACCCTTCTATACTTCTCTTTTTCTTCATTCAGCTCCTTGACTTTTTTCTCATGTTCTTCAAATATTTTCTTCTCTTCATCATTCCAAACATGCTCAGGCTTGGATATAAAAGGAGGTGGAGGAATATCCTGAAAGTATTAAAGACAAATATGCTTCAAAAGCAATATTAAGTGTCCATCATCACACTAACAAACTATAGCACGCATCAAATTTAATGAAAGGTATTTCTTAGTGGTAACTAAGGTACAAACCTTAAGCCTAAGTAACATATATATTGTTTCTCTGGTCTGTTACTTGCTCCAGTAGTTTTGGTGTATATATATTGTCCTAGTCTCTCTTCCTTACAGGAATTCACTGCTGGATCTTGTAAAATACAAGTATTTTGTACTCAAACATTCTACTGCCAGTACAAGATAAATCACATTTTCTGTTTCAGAACCCCAAATCTAACTCCATGTTAACGTATACTTCCAAGTGGAGTCCTAGTTTTCCAAAACAGATCAATTCTAGGGAGAGCACTTGGGTCTGCCCTATCCTTTTTCTGTGACATTCCTTCACATTTTTTCCTTCTTTTACTACAGTACTATCTATATATGGTGAGTTAAATGGAACGCAGTAATTTTCTGTAAGATCACAGCCAAGGATAATAGACCCTTCCCCCAACAATACAGTTGTTGTAATGGTAATACTCGATTCTGTTCCTGTTGTGTTCCACTGTGATGAGGACAGGTGTTGATGGGTAAAGCACATGCAGGCACTAGAATGTTTTGGTCCCTTTTGAGTCCAGCACATGGTCTCTTACGGAGTCTATCTAGGCATAATGCAATTCTACAATTCTCCGAATTTCTTCTATCACTTGGGTTGGCAATAATTGCTAGTTGAATTTCACATTTTCCTTAAAAGCCCATAAGCTACCTAAATGATATAGCAGAAATACAGCTCACCATTTTCAAGATGTCTTCCTTTTTGACTTCTAGCACTCCACCCATCATGTCATTAAGAGCACGCAGCCTTTCATTGTCCTGGGAATGACCACAAAAAATATTTTAGTGTACAAAAGGATGTGTAGTAATAGGCAGTTTTGAGAACGATAATAGGGTAGTTCACCTCTAGATCACACGTACAATTATACTGTGTGTCACTAGCAGATTAATGCTCTTCAGTGATGCATGTGAGATATGCTGAAAGCCTCAGAGTTTTTTGTAGTGGACAGATGTTCATGTACCAAATAACTTACTGAAATTGCCATTTTGGCAGTTTTGGAAAGAATACATAGGCATAGACTATTCCTGGCCAGTTGGCAGGCTAGGATGAAGTGGTAGTGTCACTCTATTATTACGTCTCTCTCTTTGGACCAGAACCACCTTAGGTTTTTCACAGAGGCATTTTAAACCCAGAGGGAAGCATTACGATCTTCTAGTCTGATCCCTGAAGAACAGAGGTCACTCAGTCAAACACATACCAAGCACAAAGCTCTTGATTGAGCAGTAGCGTGCATTTAGAAAAGTATCTAGTTCCCAGTCACCTGATATGGTATTTTTAATTGCCACTAAGCACATTTTTAGAAATTGTAAGCCTAACACTAAATCTTTTCTTTCCCCAGCTGGTCTATGTAGTTCTGATTGTAAACTATAATAAGAGAGAAAAGGCACACGTTATCATTACCTATAATTTTAAATTTATTCTCCCATACTACATTACTGGAATATTCCAGTGCAGCACTAACTCAATAAGCCTAACCAGAGACAAAGACCTATTTAGTAAAAAGGATTCTACTTTAAGTACCATAGCAGCAAGGCGTCTTTCCATTTCAAGCTTAGCCAGCACTACTTCTTTTTCTCTCTCTTGTTGAGTCAAGTATCTTTCAACTTTAATCTGAAGGAAGAAAATGAGATTCATATCAGGGTTCTTTTCTTTTTTTGTTGATATTAGTTGTGTTTTGTGCATACCTTTTCTGACAGTGGAACAACATGGACTGGTGGAAGAGCAGAGGGAAGTGGGGAAAGACTGACCAAAAGAGCAGATGAGATCAGTAGAATATATTGTATAAGAAATATGGTGTTTCTTTATAAATTATCAATTCAATTTATAAGTACCATACTAAGTATGCTTCAGTACCTAGATACTTAGTTTGAAACTACTTAGTTTCAAAATGGTCCTCAGAGAAAACAGAGAAACCCTTATCTATGGATACCTATGCAATCTTGTAGTCAGGAACAGGGGCAATTTCTACCTAATTTACGAGCAATTAACAGAAATAAATTAAGATTGTATACATTTTATTAATTTCAGATTGACTTAAGAGCTTTCTCCCTAAAAAGGTAAGGGAAGCAAAAGAGTCAAAAAGATTATTTTAAGTACACAGACACATGTTTGAAGGCTTTTCAGTACTGACACAATGTCTGGAAATGAGAAGAATTAGAGAACTGTATTTGAGTGGGTGAAAGAGAAAAATTTATTTTTCAGATACCTCTGAATCCTGAACAGTGAGCGCTCGCTCCGGTATCTCATCATCTGTAAGAGCGGGCTCCCACACTTCCACTTGGAGGTCAAGCTGTGCCAAGATTTCTCGGATCTTCAGGTTTCTTTCTTTCACTCGTGTTATCTCATGCTTCTTTTGTTGTGCAACTATGTCAAATTCCTTATTAAAAGCAGTTTTCACTTTGTAAATGATGTCCTGAAATAGCAAAAAAGGAAACAGTAATACTGCACAGGTCACATCCATCCATGATTGTATACCACTCCTGAAGCCATCAGAATCATACATGCGTGTATTTGTGTGTGTGACAGAGAGATAAACTGGTAAAGTCCTTTTGTGAAAATCATGAGGGCAGAGTTCAAGCTTTGTTAAATGGAGGTGGACAAATTATCTTTTTTTTTTCTAGAAATTTTTATTCCTTTTCTTCTACATATTTTCCATTTGACAAAGATTCTGAAAGAATTATACTGCTGTCAAAACTAGATAAAAAATTAGGCTGCCTTCTACTTGCTGTTTTTTGCATTCTTTGGCTGAAAGAAGAAGGGGCTTCAAAGAAAAAAAACACGTGACCTGTAAATCTAGAGATTGTAAATCATAGGTACAGGGAGGCAGAGTTAGGGGCATACTTTCCTTACTTTTAAGGGATGCAACCTGCAGTTTTGATATGCTTTCATGTAATTTTCTGTCTGACATAAGTAAAATGTGCCCATTAAATAAAAAAACATTGGAAACCAATTTTTTTAAAACACCTGAGACCTTATCATGACTTTAAAAAGCATATATTCTTAGTGGAATAAAGTCTTCCTTTAGCCTAAATAATTGATCTCATCAAAGAAAGTAGAATATTAAGAGAGAAAACTATGTATCTCCTACTGTGTCAATTTACAAAAATAAAACATGAAAAGGTTTTCAGTTCTATCATTAAACTTCACATTTTGAGATGCTTAGCTGTTTGCAATTTGTATTACAATAAATATTGTGTCCATGATTATTTCATTGATTTCTACTATGATAAGTTAGGATGTAATAAGGCAGAACGGCAGATAAGGTACAATGTTGCTGGGAGAAAAAAGGCTGTGTTCAATGTCTAGCCGGCCACCTAGCTCTCAGCAAGCTTGCTACATTGGCCCAGAACACTGAAGATATATCTACACTTCGATATATAATATGCATCGTTAAAGTCAGACAGTAGAAAGATCTAGTTGCACCCAAGCTTACATCTAAAAGTGCTCCTTGTGTTTCTTCTCCATCTACTTTGAACACTAGTGTATCTACTAGATTTTTATGTATTACAATGCACAATCATTGAGCTCTGCTACCATTTACAGCCTTAAAGAGCTCGGAGGAGGCAGTGTAGTAGTTTAACTTTACAGTAGCTTAACCACTTCTACCCTTGTAGATCATCTGCATAAGAAACCTATTCTGTAGCATATTTACTACTTAATAAACTGGCCAGGGTAAAGGAAGTAAGAGTCTGATAGTAATGAATAATAAATAACACAAACATTGAAGACTCCAAATGAAGGGATGGTAAGACTGGAGAGAACAAAAATGGTGTGAGGATACAGCTGATGTTTCATTCAGCAGCAAATAATAGGGAAAG